ACCCTGTTTACCACTGGGTATAAAAGACTCACTGAGATTGAAGAAGATGGCAGGAAGAGGGAGGAAGCAAAAAGAGTGCCTCATAAAGTAAAATCTTGGAGAGACGCTGGAGATACACCTTACAGGAAAAGCCACCGAGAAGAGGCAAAACTTTGACTCCTCCACACCTCTAGCCTGTGCATAGCAACTCCACTTCACATGAATGGAGAAACCAGGAGGGCTCTAGTGCCGCCACCAGAGGGCAGTTCCCAGATGTCTTGGGATGACGCAGATCACAAGGTGAGCTTAGCGGCACGTGGTACTCCCACAGACAACCCTGGGCCAGATCAGAATAGCCCCCTGGACAAACTGATCCCCCCTAAGGGAAAAAAGAAAAAAAACAGATAAGCAATAACAACAAAAAAGACATGTAGCAAAGAGAGCGGGGCATCCTGAGCACCAAAAAGGGGGGGAGGGGAAATCCCTCACAACAAGCCGGATGGAGAAGGCAGGAGCGGCTGCACATGCACAGCAACCAGGAGTGGGAAAGCTTGTAAAAGTGGCACTGGGAGGAAAACTCCACAGGAGAGGGGGGAAGACCCACTTCCCATGAGAAGTGTAAATAAACATGCAGGCCTGAGAAAGCTGGTGCAGTGTCACCTACCTCAGTGTGCTTGGAAAGGAGAAAGGTTGCAGCAGTGGCAGTCACACCCAGGAGAACTCTAAGTCAACAAAGCTAAGTGAGTGTTACGCTCACACCTAAGATTTGCATAAATAAAGCCTCCAGCAACAGCAGGCTGACAGCAGTGGGGAGGTAAGCCACAGCATCAGATAGCCATTCACAAAACTGTCTCCAGACACTGAAACGATATTGCATTTGAACTTGGGACAATTTGTGGTGGTTTTTTTTTTTGTTTTGTGTTGTTTTTCTGTTTGTTTTCCCCCCTTTGATGAGACAATGACAGAACTACTTCTGAGACACCATCTCCAGGAATGGAGGCTGAGGAACGAACACCAAAATTATTAAGACTGAAACTTTACTGCATTTGAACTTGGAGGTTTTTATTTATTTCATTTATTTTTTATTTTATTTTTTTCAATCCTGTCTCTGTCTCTCTAATGGCTGTTCAGCTTACTGTTGATTAGTACACTATCAACGTGTTTATATCTTTGAAACTTTGTGTTTGTTTGTTTCTTTTGTTTTTTTATACTTGTTTATTTCTTTTTCCCTTTTTCTTTAAGTTCTTTGCATTCCATCTCCTCTCACCCTTCCATTCTAAATATTACCATTGTTCTTATTACAGCCTAGAAAATACTTAATTGCACACAGTACAGGGACAATAACAACATCAAGGGCAATGATGGGAAGACAGAAAAAACAGGGAAACCAGTTTCCCCACAGCACAAAGTTAGGTTAGTACAGGAACCAGAGGGAAATGAAGAAAATAGCTACTCAGATCCAGACTCCAACAAAATAAAGATAAACTATGCCAACGAACCAAATGAAGCCCACAAGAATAATCAAAAAGAAGAAATACTACAGGTAATCAATGAGAATTTTATAGAGATGATACTGGATAGGGTCAACCAAAATGTACAGGAGACACTCAAGAAATTCCAAGACAACAAAAATAGAGAATTTAAAACAACACAGAAGAAATAAAAGAAACCATAGAAGCACTGTATAAACACCAACGTGAAACAAAGAACACAATTAATAAAGAGATAAATGAGCTCAGGACAAAAATAGACAACAGTAAAGAGGAAACGACTCAGGATATTGAAAACCTCAGAAAAAAGAATGAAACACAATTGCAAAACAAAATGGAAGGCCAATCCAGCAGAATAGAACAAACAAAAGACAGAATCTCAGAACTCCAAGATGAAATGGAAATTAAAGGAAAAACTGAAGAACTATTAGTTAAACAACTCAAAACCTGTGACAAGAAAATACAAGAACTCACTGAATCCATCAAAAGACCAAACCTGAGAATCATGCGCTTCAGAGAAGAACAGGTGAAAGCAAAGGGAAGGCATAATATATTCAACAAAATAATAACAGAAAATTTCCCAAATCTAGAGAAATCTGTTCCCATAAAGATGCAAGAGGCCTCCAGAACACCAAACAGACCAGACCAAAATAGATCTACGCCACGGCATATTATAATTAAAACAACAAATAGAGACCTGAGGAAGAATACTGAAGGCTGTAAGAGAGAAAAAACAAATAACATACAAAGGTAAACCCATCAAAATCACAGCAGACTTCTCAACAGAAACATTAAAAGCAAGAAGAACGTGGGGTAAGATCTTCCAGGCAGTGAATGAAAATAACTTCAATCCAAGGATACTCTACCCAGCAAAACTATCATTCAAAATAGATGGTGCAATAAAAGTCTTCCATGATAATCAGAAACTACAACAATATGTGATCACAAAGCCACCACAACAAAAGATTCTTCAAGGGATTCTGCACACAGAATGTGAAACCCAACATAACCATGAAAGGACAGGCAGCATCAAACTACAGGAAAACAAAAAGAAAGTAGAGAGTAACCTCAACTTAGGTACACACAATCAAACTTTCAAACAACTAAGACAACTAAATGACAGGAATCATCACATACCTATCAGAACTAACACTTAATGTTAATGGACTTAATTCACCCATCAAAATGCACCGCTTGACAAAATGGATAAAAAGGAACATCCAACAATTTGGTGCTTACAGGAGACCCATCTCACCGACAGAAATAACCATAGCCTTAGGATGAAAGTCTGGAAGAAGACTTATGAAGCCAATGGCCCCCCCAAAACAGGCAGGAGTAGCAATACTTATCTCTGTCAAAGTAGACTTCAAACCTACATTGAACAAATGAGATAAAGAAGGACATTCCATACTAATAAAAGGGGAAATAGACCAAAAGGAAATAACAGTTATCAACCTATGTGTACCAAATGTCAACGCACCAAATTTCATCAAACATACCCTGAAGGACCTAAAATCATATATTAACTCCAACACAGTGGTTGTGGGAGATTTTAAAACCCCATTATCATCAATACATAGGTCATAAAAACAAAAAATCAATAAAGAAATCCAAGATCTAAAATATACAATAGATCAAATGGACCTACTTGATGTGTACGGAACATTTCATTCAACTTCTACACAATATACATTCTTCTCAGCAGCCCATGGAACCTTCTCCAAAATAGATCATATCCTAGAGCACAAAGCAAACTTCAGCATATATAAGAAAACAGAAATTATACCGTGCATACTATCTGATCACAGTGCAATAAAACTAGAACTCAACAACAAAAGTAAAGACAAAAAACATGCAAACAGCTGGAAACTGAATAACTCATTACTTAATGAACAATGGGTCATTGATGAAATAAAACAGGAAATTAAAAAGTTCCTGGAAATCAATGACAATGAAAACACCACCTACCGGAACCTATGGAACACAGCAAAGGTAGTCCTCAGAGGAAAGTTTATAGCCATGAGTGCATATATTAAAAAGACTGAAAAATCACAAATCAATGGATTCTCTGCTGAATTCTAATCAGACCTTTAATGAAGAACTGATACCAACCCTCCTTAAACTGGTCCACGAAATAGAAATTGAAGGGAAACTGTCTAACACATTTTATGAAGCCACTATTACACTTATCACAAAACCACGCAAAGACATCTCCCAAAAGGATAACTATAGGCCAATCTCCTTCATGAACATTGATGCAAAAATCCTCAACAAAATAATGACAAACCAAATTCAACAGCACATCAAAAGATCATTCACCACGACCAAGTAGGCTTCATCCCAGGAATGCAGGGGTGGTTCAACATATGAAAATCAATAAACGTAATAAACCACATTAACAGAAGCAAAGACAAAAACCACTTGATCATCTCAATAGATGCAGAAAAAGCCTTTGATAAGATCCAACACCATTTCATGATAAAACCTCTAAGAAAACTAGGAATAGAAGGAAAGTACCTCAACATTATAAAAGCTATATATGACAAACCTACAGCCAGCATTATACTTAACAGAGAAAAACTGAAACCATTCCCTCTAAAATCAGGAACTAGACAAGGTTGCCCACTATCTGCACTTCTATTCACCATAGTACTGGAATTTGTAGCCAGAGCAATTAGGCAAGAAGAAGGAATAAAAGGAATACAAATAGGTAAGGAAACTGTCAAAATATCCCTATTTGCAGACGACCTGATCCTATACCTTAAAGACCCAAAAAACTCTACTCAGAAGCTCCTAGACACCATCCATAGCTACAGCAAGGTAGCAGGATATAAAATCAACATAGAAAAATCATTAGCATTTCTATACACTAATAATGAACAAACCGAAAAAGAATATATGAAAACAATTCCATTTACAATAGCCTCAAAAAAAATCAAATACCTAGGTGTAAACCTAACAAAAGATGTGAACGACCTCTACAAGGAAAACTATACACTTCTGAAGAAAGAGATTGAGGAAGACTATAGAAAGTGGAGAGATCTCCCATGCTCATGGAGTGGTAGAATCAACATAGTAAAAATGTCTATACTCCCAAAAGTAATCTACATGTTTAATGCAATTCCCATCAAAATTCCAAAGACATTCATTAAAGAGATTGAAAAATCTGTCGTTAAATTTATATGGAAACACAAGAGGCCATGAATAGCCAAGGCAATACTCAGCCAAAAGAACAATGCTGGAGGTATCACAATACCTGACTTCAAACTATATTACAAAGCAATAACAATAAAAACAGCATGGTACTGGCACAAAAACAGACATGAAGACCAGTGGAACAGAATAGAGGACGCAGATATAAAGCCATTAGATCACAGCAAATAATCATTGCAGTTGTAACTTGTAGCCTTTAAAATTGCCTATACTTCACAGCCCTACTTATGACCATTCTAAAGAGTTATAAAACTCTTTAAAAAGAAAACGTACAAGATGTTAATTGCCTCCAATTCACTCTGAATCCCTGGGCTTCTAATGCAGATTCTGGGTGGAATCCCATGGCAAGCCTATTTCCAAAGGGTCCTCTCCTCATCCTCAGCTACCTATGCTCAGGTTCTGTCCTTTCTGGCCGCTTTTGGGTGCCTGGTGATAGCTGTGCCTTCTGTACTCATTAGGGCTATTGGAGCATCAACAGGTAAATCTCTTACATCTTCATCATAGTGACAGTTAGCTTCTCAACAGCCACCAGCTGCTCTCTCTACTTCTCTTACCCAGGGAGTTAATTCTTCTTCATTCATAGTTCCATCTATGCCTCTGTTATAGAATTCAGCAAATTTTGTTATACTTTAGTGATCTCCACATTTTTGATTTCTCAATTGATCACATTTGTGAGGCAGCTCCCAAACCAAGTTTATAGATAGGAAGAGGACCAGTGAGAAGAGCTGCAATGTAGTCTCTTTCCATGCACACGGGTAATTAGGCTGCAAGAAAGAGACTACGGGTGTCCTTTTAGCTCCAAGTAGTTGAAAAGAAATTCTATGACCAGTCTAAGAGCATTTATTTTCTTGTGGTTCTATGTAATGCCCTACCATCACTGCAGAAAAAGAGCATATATCTCAACAGCAAGCTCTGGCAAATGTTGGAAACTGACAGTCACTGGCACCCCTAGAAGCCAGCACATGTCAGATATTTCCATATGACCAACACATAGACTGCTCCTAAGTAGACTAACAGTGTGATTCTGAGATGTTTCAAAACTATCTGGTAAAGAGTATGCTCCAAGATAGATAAAGTGCATGACACTCAGTTGTTGGTATGGCTTTGTTTTTACTCAACAGACTGGAACCAGACTGGATATGGGTTTCCAGACCCCAAGGACAATGAAGAAGCAGACATGATCCTCCCAGTTGTTCTACAGCACCTCTGTCCTGTGTACATTTCCTTCTTTGGTCTTGGTGCAGTTTCTGCAGCTGTCATGTCCTCAGCTGACTCTTCCATCCTGTCAGCAAGTTCAATATTTGCTCGGAACATCTACCAGCTTTCCTTCAGACAAAATGTAAGAGCAATTTTTTAATTTGTCATTTATTATTGTTGTTGCCATTATCGTTGTGTTTATTTTGCACACTGAATTACAGGTTGAGCTCCATAATTTAAAAATGTGAAACTTTGTTTTATGCACAAAATTATTTAAAATACTGTATAAAATTACTCTGGGGCCATGTGTATAAGGTATATATTAAAAAATTTATTTATTTTTTAGACTTAGGTCCTATCACCAAGAGAATCTCATTATGATATGTGAGTATTCAAAGTAAAAAAATAACCCTGAAATCCAAAACACTTCTGGTCTCAAGCAAGGAATGCTCAATCTGGATATATGTTTTAATAGTCTATATTAAAATCTCACCCTGATTTGATTAAAAATACAAATTTAATTTATTTATGCTGTAATGGATATTATCAATACATGTTATCATCTTGTTAATACTAAAAGGAACAAATCAATATAACTATTTCCCAAGAAATCGTCTATTCTGATTAAATATCCCAGAAGTCGGGTGAGCTCTGTGGAAGCAGGGTGTAAGTTTTCACGCATATTTGTGTGACATCTGGAGTGCTCTTCCTTTGAACTCCAGTCTACCTTTGTCATAAGATACCCACTCAATTTGATTTTCCTCCTAAATCAAGTGGCCATAGGATAGGTAGCTTCTGAGGTCTCTCTAAAGCCTTTCTTCCCTGACTAATGCTTGGCTTCTTGCTAGGTTTTTTTCCTAGCTCATGGTTAGCAAAATGGCCCCACTGTTCTTTTTTACCAAGAGAATGTTCTGGAAAAGCCTTTATAAGGCCCTAGAAGGTGATCTGCCTTAAAGAGGGCAGCATGTATGTTATGTTGGGTTGGCCCTTAAGACTGAGCCATTTAACCCAGGCGACTTCTTCACACCAGTTTTCAAGCATAGAAACCTATGCTGTTCTTTGCCTAAATAAGCCAACACGCCAAGTGCCGTGCTGACCCTGAATGTGTTTCTTCCAGGCATCAGACAAAGAAATTCTCTGGGTCATGAGAGTTACAGTGTTTGTGTTTGGAGCTTCTGCCACAGCCATGGCCTTGCTGACGAAGACCGTGTATGGGCTTTGGTACCGCAGCTCTGACCTCGTCTACATCATCATTTTCCCACAGCTGCTCTGTGTCCTCTTCATCAAGGGGACCAACACGTATGGGGCTGTGGCAGGCTACATTTCTGGGCTTTTCCTGAGGATAACTGGCAGAGAGCCATACCTGTACCTGCAGCCCTTGATCTTCTACCCAGGTTATTACTCTGATAAGAGTGGTATATATAATCAGAGATTTCCATTTAAAACATTCTCCATGGTTACCTCATTCCTAACCAACATTTGTGTCTCTTACCTGAGTATCTATTTAAAAGTGGAACCTTGCCACCAAAATTAGATACATTTGATGCTGTTGTCGCAAGGCACAGTGAAGAAAACATGGATAACACAATTCTTGTCAGAAATGAAAATATTAAGTTAGATGAACTTGCACCTGTGAAGCCACGACAGAGCATAGCTCTCAGCTCAACTTTCACCAATAAAGAGGCCCTCCTTGACGTCGATTCCAGTCCAGAAGGGTCTGGGACTGAGGATAATTTACAGTGACCCATCTAAACAAAATACTGCTTTCCCAAACAGCACTATAGTAGGGTAATCTTGTAAAGATGGATTGCAGCATATAAAACACACATTAAAACATAACCAACATTCAGGAGAACAAAAATCCCGTAGACAGTAAAAGTAAGTGCTAGAGGAGAAATTCAGGAAAAAAATCACATGCAATTAGATAAAACACACGCCAGGCAAGAAGGAAGCAGCTATGAAAGTAACATTATTTCTCATCCATAGTCATTTTGATTTCTATGCTGCATAGTTTTGTTAGGTCTATAAAAATTAGTAAAGCCCCAATTTAAGAACACATGACCAAACAGCATTGTCTTTATTGTGAAAGCAGGAAGTGCAAATGAAAGAGCCTGAAAAAAAGGAGATTGGATGGTCTTGATCACACTTGTTGGCTAGTAAGTGAGCCTGTCTAATGTTGGCCTAGAGACTAAGTCACAGCTGCTCCAATGAGCAGTGCACTGAGTTAGCCAGCTGATTTTTCTTGATTAACCCCTTCTTTCATGATGTGAAGTATAGCACTTGCTGAATGTGCAATCAGGCTTTGTTTTGGTTTGTTTTTTGTGTGTGGTGCTGGGGATGTAACCCAAATCCTTGCATGTGCTGGGCAAGCACTCTATCCCAGCCCCACAATCTGTCTCTTTTAGTAAAGACCTATATTATTCTGATCATAAACAAAAGAAACACAAAAATACTGCATAGTGGCGATTTGTGTGTGTGTGTGTGTGTGTGTGTGTGAGAACTGCTAGGACAATAGAGACCATTTTGGAAAAAGAACACTGGGCTCTGAGCATACCAGTCACTACCACAGGCTTAAAATAAGGGTATGTGGAACCCAGAAAGATCATCAGGAGAACTTACAACAATAAATCAAGAAGGGCATTACACAAAACTGGATAGGAAGAACAGGTTTTTGTCTTCAGCTGAAGAATAGAAAGTTTTGCCACATGGTAAAAGATGTAATGTCTTGCCTTACTTACTATCTAAATCAGTATTGGGAGTGAAAGTGAGCCACAAGAAAAGAGAGGTAGCTAGCTACCCTGCAGCAATTATGATCAGTGAGAGACAAATTGCTAAACTAAAATGTATTTCATTCAATATTTATTAATACCAGTTCCCAAAGTACCTCCTCATAGTAAAACCCCAGTCAGGTTTGGATAGTCTGTAAATGGGAAGATACAGTGGTAAGGGATCTACTCAATGGCACTTTCTCACATCAGCTAGTTTCAGGAACTGGACAAATCACCACCATGAAAAGTATATCTTGAATTTTAATGTGCGGCAGAAAGTAAAAATAAGTCCTAAAGAGAAGAAGCAATGAATTTTAACACTTGATGTATGCATAGCTTTCATGAGGTCAGTCATTAAGTGTTGTTTTGCTCCTTTTCTGGAGTTAAAAACTGTATGTATTAGTATATATACATATGTAATGGGTTGTAACCATTCTAAAATTTTAAATATTTCCACACCAGTCACACATTCTAGAAAACGCTGGACCTGTATCAACAAAATCAGACCAAACTGATGAGATGAAGAATTACCTGGGCATTTTTTCCAATAGAGGAAGCCATTCTGAATTGCAGAAGTGAAAGCACTTTCCCCAAAACATTTCTTATTTACAATTCATAAACAAAGGGTTAACTCAATTTTCAGCGTTAAGTATAAAAGTTGTGTTCCTGACTCTAGAATTCCTTTTCATAGGTTTTGCTTGGAATTATCTCAAAGCATCAAATAATGTATCTCCTTTATTACAAAACATAAATTTCTAGGGTAATTTCTTAAATGTGTAATTAATTTTGCATGTTATAATAATGTCCTATATTTTCAGAGCTTTGTTAAAAAATTGATGATGAATATGATATTGCATTCAAAACCTTTACTGAACATCTTGTATACCTAAATAAAAAGAGAATCCCTTTATTCATTAATTTGCTCAGAATCAACCAGTAAGAACCAAGAAGATTGAGAAAAAAGCCAGGGAAAAGTTAAGAAAAAAAGTCAAAAAACAGAGATTAAAACATTTGCATGTGAAAGTAGTTAACTGATGGGGACCACAGTTCCTGGCAAGCATGGCATTTCATATACAATGTGCTTCCCAGCACACTACCCAAATTATGATTTCTATCCACTCCATCATCGTTAAGTTTTTACTTCAACTTCTTGAGACACATTTCTCTATTATGTGCACAATGAATGGCATAATCCATAAAACAGGGAGCATAATCTCTTTACAGACATTCATTTTTACAATATTCATGGTTAACAATTGTCCAAATAACCATATTTAAATCCAATGAAAAGGAATATTAATAGTAAAAATTTCTTTTCAGTTCATTTATAGTGATAGAAAGAACCAGGAAGGAAAAGTTTACTCTGTCCAAAATACTAAAATTAGGTAAAATATTTAAATGAATGAGCAATGCATTTTATTTAACCCACTGTTTCTCATATATTCTGAAACTAGAGCTATAAAAATTAATCATTAAATCTATAAATAAATGTGCTAAATATTAGCATGATGACATCTTAAAGTCCAAAAAAATCAAAAGGATTGAAACAACAATCTCAAGATCTTTATTCATTTTTGCACATTTTTGCATACATTTTCTCCAGTTTCCAAGAAAGGGAAAAGACCTACTATGTGATGGTATCGTGGATCATGCAGAAGGCACTGAATTCATCCACCTTCACTCAGTGACTCTGATTTTCAAAAATTCATGCTCAATGAAAATACAACATTCCAAACATTTTCAAACACTACATATATTAGCCTTTGGAGGCAATACCTGTGGATAAGGCATTAGAATAAAGTCAATGTTTTATTTTCAGACTTTACCGATATTATGTGTTTTTTGGATAATTCTGCTTTTTTCCCTGCACGTTCAGAACATCAAGTTGGTAGCTGGTCTGATACGTATGTCAACAACTTTTCAAACTTTGTCAAAAATTCACTTTCATTGCTACATTTATAAATAAATTTATGTGACTATCAAGTGAATGTAAGCTTGAAATAAGTAAATTTAATACAATGGCTATTGGCTTTTTATTTGGAAATAATGAATTAACGTTATATTTTAAAGATACATTATGACTTTTTCCTTTTTAGCCTTCAAAAAATTTATTCTGTATAGTGTATAATTTATTGTAAGCTTGCTATAAAGTATAATTTACTATAAGTTTGCTACTGAACAGACAGATGTGCATAATGGTTCTAAAACACATATTTTTGTCTGTAAAAAGATGATATAAATTTATGCTTAAAATAAGTAGATTTGCAACTATACATGTAAATGTTTTAAATGTAATGGTATTGTATCAAACTGTGCTATTGCAATTCAGGAGTCATTTTCTTGGTTTGACCTTTTGGAACCCTCTCTTAAAATAAATATAAATGGTATATGAAGGCAATTATGCAATAGAACTGAAATAAACCATCCCATTACTGATGATATTCACATGTCAAATACTGCACCTTACACAAGTCTTGGGGCAATATATGATATCATACTTCAGAACAATATGGAAATTATCTTTCTTGGAAAATGAAATTCTACTACCTTCATAGGCCTTACTTTGAATCAAAGAAATTAATAAATAACATAAAAATATGAACATAAAAAGGATGCATATCTTTAAAAACTAAGTAGCTACTTGATGGTCGTTAATGGAGGACATACAGCCAATCGTGGAGGACAGGTTCTCGTTAGTCAAGTATGCAGTCCGTATCTATTACTCAGCTTTTTAAAGTGATCTTTAAAAGTGAAACTATATGTACTCTCAGAACAACTTTGGCCTCTGATGCCTTGATCATAAGCATTGCTGTCTTCTCTTAAGATGTATTATGGTGGAAGGACCGAGAATGAGCTTAAGGAGGAATGAAGAAAGAATAAGTAGGATGGCAGGGAAATATGGCACCAATTTTTCTACCACTATGGAAACCCCTCTATATGTCTATACTGAGCATGCATTTTTGCTTTATCTCAACTCTGTACTGTCCTGGAAATTATTAAAGTCAAAAAAGGGAAAGCATTAAAATATAAATATTGGCATCTGTGCATGCTATTGGATTTTAATCAAAGCATGAACAGGTATAAATTTGATTACTAGCATTCTCCTAAGACTCTCTCTTGAGAGAAACTCGGGAAGCTCCAGGAAAATAATAGTGATTATTTTTACCTTTTTAAAGACCCAGGAAATTACAGGGAGATTGTGACTATTTCTATTTTTTAATACTGCAGAGCTTCAACACTGAAAATGACCATGTTACATTACTTATATTCTTTAAAAATCAAAGAGTATGTGGTAACTCTGGAGCCAAAATGCGGTGTTGATTTATTGATTTGTGATCTAGAAGCAGTGAAACACATAAACACAGGAAGATTTAGACCTAATGGTAAACTGGGTATTATGGAAAGAGTAACTGAAAGCAGCTTGACACCGCTGTGCCTGCAGCTGGAGTGTGCCATAGCAGAATCATACTACAGATCACACTCAGTGACTTCGGGGCCTATAAGTGAAAGCTCCTGAGAGAATTACCAAAACTCTCTGGATCTCTCTTTTATCTATGGAAGGCTCTATGATTTAAATCATCATTAAGGTCTCACAAATCTCCAGGTTTTGATTAACCCTTATTTGGAAACCTATTCAGAGAGCTGAAATATATCTTAGGAGACAGTACCAGAAAGTGGGGCTGAAGAGGAAGACACAAGTGGCCTCCACAATTGGATGGTCTTAACCAAGTCACACAACTTCTGTGGCCTCAATTTTCCAGATGGGGATGGTACCATACAAGGTTATATGGTAGAAAATCCTTAAAAGGTGTAGAGATACACAACTGAGAATATTGTGGCATATATCCTACTACAGAAAACCATTGTGACTTTGAATTTTGTATTCAACTAGTCATAAAGATGGATCCTACAGTAGAGTCATGTTTTAAAGTATATTGACCAGTAGATCACATTTGCCTTGCTTGGCTTGTAAGG